CAAGAAAATGTTTACGAAAAAATTAAATTTGAGAATTCCTCAGAAGGTTTTATACTAATCGTTGTTGGTACCATAGTATTATTTATTTTCCAACGTTCTTAAAGTGTCCTATTTTTAAATTCATACAAATTAGTAACAGCATACCATTATTAATGCTTGTAAATATTGTTTTAAATAAAAACAATCCGTGATAGAGAGAAGCAGCTGAGCCAAGTGGTACAGAAGTTATATAAATACTAGACGAATTCTGGAACTCGATTTTCTCGAAAATAGAACCACGTATAAAACAAATTTTACTGTTTTCTAATCAAGTGTCAATGTCCTTTCTGACAGAAGACGTGCCAAAAGACGTCATCTTCGAGCTTCTGAACGAAATGTAAAAAATCATTTTCATAATTTATCGCGTGTGCGCATATTTCCGCGGTTCATTCAACCGATTTCGTATCCCGCAATTACGTCTTGGTGGATACTATGTAGAGCCATTAACATGGAGATTGCAGTTGCTCGAATATTCAGGCATCGACTTCCGGCTCGGATACATTATCGCGAATTCATGACAAAATTGGATCTTTTAAACAGAAAAGTATCTGTCAAACAGTCTGTACATGTAGGTAAAATATATTTTGATTTTTGTGTTTTATATGATTTTTAGGCAAATTAAAAATTTTGGTTCTTTGGGCAAATTTAGATTCTTTGTAGATTGATTTGTTGAACTGAAATTAAATTAGACATTCATTTTCTTTATTAATGGTATTATTATGGTATTGTTACGATGTTAAATAAGGTTAATTTGCTATAGTCTGTACCTCCCGATCGACAAGTTTCAAGGACTTTTTTTTTCATTTCCACGACATGATTCGTTAGCAACAATGGTCATATTAATAATGCAATATAATATACGAGGCGTACTACTCAATAATTTATTATATTTAAAAATCTAAAATTTATTGCCAACGAACTGGCTTGAAATGCCAAGAAACGCTGACGTCACATTATAGTATAAATTAAATAAAAAATCCTATATTTTATGTACTAAAAAAATGTAGGAGAAATCATGACGCGATTCGTTGAAAGTGTGATTTAATAATCCGACGCCTATGACGCGGTTTTCTTAAAAAAAAAAAAGGAAGGGAAATAGTAACGAGATCTTTAACAATCGCAATCGCTTGTTTTTCTCTCGTTTATTCTTGGATCGTCGACTCATATTTTCCATCGCATTCCGGGATTACCTTACCGTCTATTTTCATACCGCATCATCCGAGAACCGTTCATCGTGCATGGGAACGTTCGAGCATTTGATCCCTCCGAAAATATTAATCTCCACTTAGGAGGGATTCCAAGTGGATATACAATTTAAATAATACTGACACATTTTTAATAAAATCGTACTTTGAAATGATAGCACCTGTTTGACGACACCTGTTTGATATTTGCCGACATATGTCTCAGAAAACATAACTAAAATATATGAAAAACATCCCCTACATTTCATAATAATATGGTTGCTGTAAAATAAAATATGAACATTATCTCTTTAACTTTGATATGACTTACAAATTTAACATAAAATTGTACTATAGTATTTGCAATACATTCATAAGTTTATGAAATATTATATTACCAACATGTGTCTGAAAATGTAAAATTCTATGCCACCATTATTATCGATATAATTCGTAGCTTTTTATATACATATATAAATTCGATGGAATGGCTAGTACAAAAATTTCTGCCTACTTGTTACATCATTCGCGAATGCTGCCGGTGTTAAATTTCACGTTGCCAAATATACATGATTCAGGGATTAACGAAAAAGCTCAATTAACAACCCCACGCGAGCAGCGACGCCACGCGTTTCTGCGTTAGTAACCCCGAAATGTTAGTAGCGATGTTGCGCTCTACATATTTCTTTTCCCTCCCGAAATAAGCGGGAGCCTGAAATACGTATGACTAATCGCGCAACAAGAGCAAGCTGGAACAATGCTTTCGATACGTTATTGCAGCATTGAACATCTTTATTCGTAACACTTTATTTCCCGCTACACTCTATTCCTGATGAGATAAGAAACGAATATTCTCATAACTTTTATTGTTCGCCAGGTTGACACGAGACAGATGTGGCAATAATTTTCTTCTCGGCGATTGTTTTCCCTTTTGCTGTCCTATTGGTGTGTATTCACCTTAAGAATTCATTTTTATTTCATTAATATTTAATTTTTACACGTAAAATGACGGTTTCATTACTTATTCAAACAAATTTACACATTTGAAAATCAATTTCAAGGAAAAATAGTTAAAGAAAAATTTACCTTTCCATTCAAGGCTTCCTATTTTTATTTTAATGTCTTCTGCATATTTATATATGCTCTAACTGCATAAAATCTAAAGTCTTATGATTAGTATATTTAGTTCCATTTTTATCAATGAAAATGAACTGTTTGTTCTTTACGTAAAACTGCTTTTGTTGTTTTTTTTATGCCAGTATTTGATAGTCTAATTAAGTAACATTTTTGTTTATATTAACTGCAATAGATAATAGGTTTGGATAAAGTTCAGTTACAACTTTCATGAACAATTTACACCAAGTCAAAATTCAGCTTAATAAAATTTCAGTTAAATTTGACTTGAATAGTAACATGCATGAACGTAGGTAATTTATTTTAATATTTATCGAAGTGTATTAATTTTTTGTTCATTATTTTTAAAATAAGATAACTACACACGAGTTTGATTTATAGTTATTGAGTGTTACAGATTAGTTCTATACACTGTACACTTTATACTTCTGTAGAATATAAAAATGTTAGTACATTAAATACATACTATGCAAAGTAACTTCAATATTTTAGAAATATAAACATTCCTGTTAAGAGAAAATACTAAACTGTGCTTAATTAACGAAAATTCAACAATCAACCCCTATACGTAACTTGCTTCCTTGCATTTATGAACCATTAATATATGTATGCAGCTAAAAAAGTATTAATAATTTATTTAGAATAAATAAGTGCAAATGTCCTAACACGAACAATTAAACAGAATGGTATATCATGTTTTAAATAAAATACCTTTATTTCATAAAAAAGAACCGAATTACGAATAATTATAAATAATTAACTACAATCTACGTTAAATAATCATATTAAACATTATGCTCGAAATTGCTATATGTTTCTAAAACCTTGAACTCCTTTCCCGTGCAAATGTACACTAAACAATCATCCCGTAGAAAAATAAGTAGCATGCATTCCGCGTGAAATAACATAGCAACAATGATAATCGTTTCACTCCTTACTCTACAACATGCATATACCATCTACATTAGCAAAGAACCTACCATTCTGCACCATAACCAGCGGCCCGCTTTGCTCCAGCAAGTGAAAACTGTACTACCGGCATAGAACAATCCATAGCCATAGAAGAGAAAAGAGTAATAGAGGGAGAGAGTAGAGGAACGGAAGGTAAGGGGTCCAGAAAATAATTCGTCACACCGTAGTACCCATGTTCTTTTTTTTCTTTTTGTATTGCAGAGGAAGCACACGTTTATTTACACAATATATCAATAAATTCTTGCTATGACCAATGACAATGTAGATAACAATCTCTGTTGTTCCGATCTCCTTCTATCCGATTTCCCGTTTTCCATGCAAATAGCGAACGATTAAATTAACTAAGACAAGCCGATATAATATATTTGAAGAAGGATGCGCGTTATGATCTCTGTTAACGAGAATTAAGCCTCCTCCTGCAGCCATTTTTATTCGGATTTCCGCTTATAAATAAATAATTCTCTTCCTCCGTCGTAGCTGACTAGCATTGTTTCGAACGGAATCACTGTGATAATTTTGAACCGCGCGTGATTCCCTGACACTTCCCGCGAAGAATTCGAACGAAAGTTGCTCGCGAGTCATGTGAACCCTGTCACCCGCCGCCATGTCGCGTTGTCGCAACAAAATCACCACGATATTAAGCAATGACGGGGCGGGCAAGACAAGAAACGATAAGAACAAAAAAACAGGGAAGAGAATATTCGAAGGGTAAGGGGAAAAAATGACAAATGTCACGAAACAGCTTCATTGCGAAAATGAATTTTTAATATTTCAGTCTACCACTGTTTCTTACCTAGTACGTCAAATCTTTAACGTTTTGTGGACATTTCTACTTCCCAATCCTTTGCCATTTGACAGTTTTTAGCTGCCACCAAAAAAATGCATTATAGACCGTGAAATCACTAAAAATTGACATTCCCTAGTTTTCCCTTTATCCTCCATTTTGTAGACACGTATGGTGCGTGCTGAACAAAAGAGTAGAAAGAAAGATACCCGAGAGAGAAAGAGATAAAGAGATAGGAAGAGGGAAATAGAAGAGATAGAGAGACGAAAGGAGCATAGAAAGAGAGAAAAAAAAACGACCTACTTAAAAGCGTTTTCAAATCGTTCAACGGCAACAACGACAGAAAAATGCATTCGAGGAAAGCTCACTACGCGCTGAACAAATAATTCAGTAAAAAGCGTTCCACCGGATTGTATGCTGTTCTTGTTTCTTTGTTTTCTTTTTCATTCTTCGACTTCTCACTATTCAGTTACGAATGACTAGTTCTCCTCGCCCCTGTCGCAAAATCGTTCTCGTGTACAAAATGCAGAGGAAAAAAAAAATCGCCACGCTTCGAGGGGAAGCATATCCCTTGCTCTAGAAATTAATACTTTTCTTTCGCTGGCTCCGTTCGGCCGAAAATAATGCCCGTTTGTTTACGATATTTATTTACGAGAATCTGATCGCGAGGATTTTCGTTGCTTCTTAGATCGTAAATATTTTTCTATTCGTCGATTTGTTTTTCTCGTTATTATCGAAGCTTTTTAGTGGTTTTGATCTGGACATACAGTCGTTGGTTCGTGTTGGTTCGCCTCGTAATGGACCAATGAGAAACGAGTGATTACGTGAACTGTGTGATTACGATTGAACGAGGTTAGAGGCCCCAATGTTCCACCACCTTCGTATTAGATTGCGTTGCGTGTTTCTTTTTTTTTTTTTTTTTTTTGTTTAAATCTCTTCTCGACCATTATTAAATAGGCGCGTATACTGATCGTCTGTTACCTGGCACCTGCAAGGTGGCCGAAGTCACTGTCGAACCTAAGCTATTCGTCGCGGTACACGCGTAAGTGCCGGCGTCCTCTGAAAGAAACAAATTGAATTTTCGTTGGTAATATGTGGCGGTAATTGAAATTGTAACAGTATAGAATAATTAGAATGAATAAAATTATTCATGATTTAACCCTTCAGTTCACATAGTTCAAATTGTGATCCAATGCGGAGAATTCTGTTAATTTCTATCTCTAATTCAAAATCTATTAAAATATTTAATTTTAATATGTTCTTGAAAGGGCAGTGTTTCAAAATTACTTTAGATTCTTCTGAAACAACAGTGAGCGATCAAATTACTAGAGTCACAGTACGAAAAATATTTCTTTGTGTTCTGTTCAGAAATACAATCACAATATTAGGATTTTTATAGTGAATGATTTGTAATTAACAATTATTCACTAGAAATACACATGAAATTAAACATAGTTTATATAATTATAGGTAACTCTAATAATTTGATTACCCACTGTACTTAACTATTCTAATATATTTTAGAGTAAGTTTGAACGACATGTAGTTTGAATTTAGCATTATTTTCACAAATGTACTATACTTTACTCAAAGTACTCAAAAATGAATACTATTCTGGTAAACTATATTTGTTAGGCTTTTGTGCATTTTTGGATCGATTGTGTACATACCTGGGTAGGCTCGCACTATAGTCAAACGACAAACGCCGTTTCTATAATGGATTTCATGGCTCGAAGAATTCTCGACGATTCTGCCGTCCTTGGACCAAAGGATGTTGGGCTGCGGTTCAGCTTGAACGATGCACTCGAATCTCGCTGTTTGCCCGCTCACCACTGCGATGTCTCTAAGAGGCTAGAATCAATGCTCGATTAACAATCACTCGTCCCAACAAAGAAGCCCAAATCGGGATTCGAGGACACGTTACCGTGATGAAAAGAGGAGCCTTCTTCGGTAGTATTTCGAGATACGGTTGAATCACTTCTTTGCTCGAGGTCACTCCGTTAGTGGTGGGCCACGGTGATCCTAGAATAATCAGCTCGAATTAACTCGAGTATCTTCGAACATAGCCGTACGACAGCGATAGACTTTGTCGAACAGAAATGTGTGTGCTTTGTTGCGAGAAAATTCAAGTGTAATATGCGATTTTATGACAGAAGTAACTGCGGAACAAACAGAGATAATGATGCAATCACGTGGAAAAAGAAAAACGTTTGTACACCTATGAAACAGGAATGGAAGTGTAAAACTTTTGGACTGGAGGGTGTAGAGTTACTGTAGAAAGCAACCCAACTGAAATTTTAGTTCACCAGGGATGAGCAAGCATTCCTTTATCATTTCCAGGCTAGGTGAAACAAGAAGAATCGAAGCAACACTCGAAAACTCAACCATAGCAAGCAGATCCTGAAAAGGTTCTCTTCAAATGGGGTTTAAAAATTGAACAGGGTTCTGAGTTGCATTATGTATCCTTGAAAATTCATTTTTATGTTGCTGTAGTTAAAGTAAAATTAATTGGCTGCTACGAGACACGTCTGCAGCCAACGTTAAGAATTATGCTACAGCATATATAGTGTCCTAATTATTATTAAGCTACGCGCTACGATTTGTAACCAACGCAACCGCGGAAACTCGGGTGGCAAACTCGCGCTCTGATTGGTCGGGGTTTTTGGTTAATATCTCGGTAACGAAGCCTCAGATTACATTGTTGCTAAGAAAAAACTTGTTCCAATTTACCCCTCGAGTGCCCCATATCCGGTTCGGACAACATTTTCGTTACACCCTGTATATACATTCTACGTTTATATCTACAAGCAACAAGCACGCGCGTGCGACAAAAAACTTATCAAACCCGGAAGCTCGTGGAAACACAGGCGAAGCAACGAAGTTCAAGTCGTTCAGAATCGGTTGCAGACGCAGGTAAGTGTACCTGCGGAGTCGACGTTGCTGGGTGGTCCAGTGGCACTACTGTATCTGGGGGAGAGGCTCGGTAAGCTTGGGCTCAGGGAAAGCGGACTGGGCGTCGTGTGATCCCATCTGGAAGGCGACGGTGAACAAGGTATCACGAGGCTTGGTGGCGCCATCGTACTTCCGCCGTCCGTATGCCTTTTCCTCGCGTTCCTGACGTCCTCCGATTCCGAGAACTCGCTCTCGGACGTTGGCTCCCATTTCACGGTCTTCGAGGCACCGAACTTACCGGTGGGCTTCCCTTGACGATTCGACGAAGACGTTGTGCCGGTCCTCTTCGCGAAACCGTTCTCTTTTCGCGTGGTGAACTCGTGAACGATCGGCACCTCGATGTCGCTTGCACGTCTCTGACCTTGGATCGTTCTGTTCGTGCTGGTCACTGTCTTCTTACCCTCGCCGGGAAGTACGATCCCGAACTCGTAGCCGAAGTCGTATTTGAAGTAGATCAGCCCTGTCTCCGGGTCGATTTGCTTCGTTCCTGTTTTCATTGTCATCGCGCGGAGAGATTTAGTATATGTATTGTTACTGGAATTTGTTCTATTTTAGGTTGAACTTTTAATTTCTAGCTCCGTTTCGCTTTATATTCGTTCTGGGGGTTTGGCTGTTCAGTTTTTTTTTTTTTTTAATTAAATCGGTGGAGATTGTAAAGCTTGATGCTTCTTGATTGGTTTAGCGAAGATATTATTGATCGATGGGTTTTTATTATTTAAGCTGGTGTACTGGTAAGTTGTGAATGGTGTATGTTCGATACGGTTGTTCTTGAATAAAAGAAGACAAAAGTTGCAAGGAAAATGGATAATTTTCTGTAATTGGTGACATTTCTTTTATGTTTTGATAATAATTTAAAGAAAAGGTGAAATGTTTTCGTAGGAATTATAATATCTTCTCGTGAAATGGAAACTGTATTTCGTCAAATAATGATCCGAATGACAAGAATATGTCATGTACTGATAAAATGTATTCACAAAAATTGAATGCAGACTGTAAGTCATAAAAACCTACGACCCTTTTAATTCATGGGAATGAATCTACGGGCACTCTAGACATATATATTAATCGGTGAACTAAAAATTTTATCAGAAAGATTCGAATTTCTAGTGGAATACGACAATGACCGATTAAAATTATGAATCTTCCGCAAGTATTAATTTTAACAACAACTTACTGATAAATATCATATTGTACGTTCAGGTTTTTTATATTAAAAAAAGATATCTGCAAGAAAATGCAATATAGAATATATAAATACAAACAATAAATAAATATAGAACCAAAACTAGAAATATTTATTACTACTAATATTACTTTGCATAAAAGAATCATGGAAATAATTTAAAAATTCTCAAACAAATATTTCTTCACTTCTGCAAGAAATCTATGTACTTATGTTCTCAAATTTGAAGCAGGTATCTGTTATTAAAAGACAAAAATTTTCATTTTCTAACTGTAAAAACAACATTGTATTATTGCGCGAATAAAAACAATATTTAGATTGATGTAAGTGTCATCGATGTTTGAGAGTTCACTTTATACCAGCACTGTATTAAAATCATTTCGATATCGTAGTTCAAATTCCTTATTCGATTATCGAGAGATGCAGATTTGTCAAATCGATTACCATGTTCCGAGACTCGTGATTCTTCTCTGTACGTTCGTGGCTCGTCCGCGTCGCTGGCACGGCTGTCTGTCGGATGCTTCAGGATCGGCTTGCCCTGCTTCAGGTCCGAGTGGATATCGTTGACGAATTTCTCGGTTTTTGACTTGAAGCTGCTCGTCATGTCGCTCATGTGACGCGACGCGACGTCTGCGGATGTTTCAGATTTTTCGTGTTACGGGGAGAAGAGAGCGATCTTGCCAGCGAATTTCGAGCAAGCGAGGATAGAGTAAGATACAGAGAAGTTAAGAATGAAAAGAAAATGATAGTGCAGCGACAATCGGAATGAAATGTAACGAAGAATTTAAACATTAACAAAGAGTGTGCAATATACAGGGTTTGTCATGAGAAGGAAAACACATCGGAATCTCTGTTAGGATTGAAGTTGGAAATATATAATATAATAAAAATCGTACTGTTCAAGGAGGCAAAGATGGTGATATGAACAAACTACTTGTTTCATGTTATTTTCAAGGTTACTTGAAGGCCATCAGTGTTTTTTTAAACGACATAATGTACTTCAAATTTTGTAACGTTGTAGCTGTTATCAAGACGAGTTCAGATAAATAGGGTACTATGGCCTTGAAATGACTTTGGATTCAAAAATCTAGATTCGATCAACGGAAACATTAACGTGTGTAGTTTGGTATTTGAAATCGTCATTTTTAATTCGTAGCGACAACGCTATCAAGTTAAAATTAAATTATGCCATTTAAGAGAACACCGATGGCCTTCGAATAACCTTGAAAATAACAGCAACCAAACAGTTTGTTCATACCACCATCTTCGTCCCTTTGAACTACATAACTTTTGTGTCGCACATATGCTTCTACTTTCAATCCCAACAGAGATATTTTTGGGGCTTGTTTCTCGTGACTCATCCTGTATATACATTTCATTCTTTACAGAAACAACCCCATAGAAACAACAGATTATCTCGAGACACCCTTCAATCTAGAAATCAACGGTATTATACAGTTATTCTATAAATCTATCTGTATTCCCTCAGAACGACGAACCACGTCGAGAAAACGTTACTCCTCATCAACTCCCTCAAGTAACAAAAGCGCCCGGCGCCGACAAGTAAGCAAGCTCAACAGTGACATTGACGAGATTCTTACGGTTGGCAGCCTGCTTCATGTCGTTCCTCGAAATGTACCCGAACTCAGGTGGCGAGCCAGGCTTCAGCGTCTCCTCCTGCGAGGACGTGCAATCCCTCTGGATTTTCGTCTGAGAATCGATCTTTCTCGTTCTAGATTCGTCCCTGAGCTGCGTCATCGAGGTCTGTTTCTTCAGCACAGGTGGACCAGTATCGAACTCCAACGGGGACACAACATTTCCTTGCCTGACCGGTACGCTGGACGACCTTGGTGACTTTATAGCTGGCGGTTGAACCTTTCTATACCTAGGCTCTTCGGTATCACTGTCAGGCGGTGCCCATTTCGGCTTGATCCTGGTGTCAATGTCGCTTTCGTAATCAGACTCCTTGAACTGACCTTGCACGAATTTCTTTGGCGTCGGTACCCTAAATTGTGGTGGCTTCTGTGTCCGACCAGATGTCCCGTCGAAGCTACTGAAATCTGTGGTAGTCTTCTGATTGTCGCCGAACTTGATCACTCGACTTGTCTGTTCGACTGTGACGATCCTTCGACTGTTCTCCGTCGACTCGTCCATTCTGACAGTCTTCTTGGTCTCCGTTCCGATTGCGTTGTGGAAGGGCATCCCGGAACGTGCTTCGTAATAGGTCGGTTGGGGTTGGGGAGGCGCGTACGCGATCTCCGGTGGTGAACCAGGAAGTAGGACAGTTTTTGGCTTGGTTGGCGTGGTCACCCTCTTCTCCTCCTTTTTCTCGAGCTCCTTCGCTCTCTGTAGACGGGACGATGTCTCTTCGATCAGCAGCACAGGCGGCTCCTTTGGTTTTCCTATCGGTAGAAAATAGTTTCCCGGGTTGACCTTGGTCATCGAGATGTCGGGGCCGGCGTGACGAAGAAAGCGGACTAGTGGGTCAGAGAGCGTTGGCACCACTGGAGGCGACCGGTTTCACGCGTCGTTGACGGAAATATCGAATTATCGTTTCTGGACGAATATCGTTCTCGGTTGTCTTTGGAGACTGTAGCTGATCGTGGATCGCGTTAATTCTAGCGATGTGTTTTTCTTTGTTTTGTTTTTTTTTTTTGCTTTTTTATTTGGAACGAAGGTGAAACCAGCGTGAAAGTGACATGTGGAGACGAGAATAAGGCGACGAAGAAGATAAAGAAGGCGGGGTTAGCCACGTGGCGATCGGAGGGTAACGAGAAAGCTGGGGAAACTCTAGTACGTACTTCGAGTGGCCGAGAAGAAAAGAGAGAAGCAGGCGAAGCAGGAAGAGAGGAGAACTTGTCTTGCGAGGTAAACAACGAGAAGGGAAGAAAGCTTGCCAGGAGGACTACTTGTTGTAAGCTGGAAAAGAAGTCGAGAAAAGAGTGAGACCCATTGATAGAGGATGTTCGATTTATGTTTTTTTTTCTTTTACCGAGATCGTTGAAAAAGTTTCGTTTTATGAGTACCGAGTGATTCGTACCTATGTGACCCGCTCACCATTTCATTCGGAATTGTTAAAAGATAGTACTGACACCGATGTAGTTTACAATCTGTATACGTGTGATTTATAACAATGACAGAATAGACGGTAAGATATTTTCTGAAGATCGATTGAAACGTTTACTTTATGAATTACAAGGTGATTCGATAGAAATTTTTCCCCATCTGTTGCATTGAAAAAATGTATTCATATTTTCTATATTTCAAATATAATAACATAAATCTGAACCTTCTAAATAAAACATGATTCTACAGAATCACCTTGTAGAGTACTCAAAATGACTAGAGGTCATCTGAGGGTCATTGAGGTCATGTACTAAAAGTTTGGTGAATGAAATTAATATAATTCTATTAAATAAGTATTTTCGTTAAAAACACTTTAATAAAATTAATAACACTGTTATGGAAAGTATTTTTACTGTTGGAAATGAAGAAAGTACTTTTAATGAAATACATTGGTCTGTCTAATATTATACCGAAACCGACAAAAATATTTCACTAGTACAGTAGCAGAAATTTTTAGAAATTAGATATACGACTGGAAAATAAAGTTACTAGACTATTAACATGATTTTAGACTAAATTATGATCCTCGAATCTTTTTGAGTAGTTTATAGAAATCCCAACCCCTACTAACTATTTTGATTTTCATTTTTTTTTAACAAATGTTAACCGTCTAAAAAATAAATTTTTAATATATTGAGATTCATAAATACCTGGACCAGCGAGATTCGGTTTGACAGGTCTGAATGGCTGATCGTCGCTCTCGTAGCTTCGCGGCTTCCAAAGTGGCGGTATTCTGCCATCGTAGTCGCTCTCGTAGTCGCTTTCACGAAATTCGCTCTTCACGAATTTAGAAGGACTCGGTGATGGCGGCAGGATTTTCTTCGACATATCCAATCTCTTCTGCGACTGATCCGTTGTATAAGCAGTTTCCTGCAAGGAAATTGAAATCTATAAAATTTAAGAAACCTCCACTATGGAATAACACGATGACAACAATATAAAAACGTAGAAACACAGATTACCATCAATTGGTAAGCAAGCAATAGCTTTTAAAATGCTGAAACTTTAAAATGTAATCTGTCATGAATTATTAATAGGCAATACGTTGAATAAGAAAATCGAATGGCCAGTAAATAACTAATCGAATCCATTGTGGATTCGTTACGTTAATTTCACAGAAACAATGCATTGATTGCAAAATTTGTCCTGAATCACTTTCTTCCCTAGCTTCGAATAGAAAGATATTTAATTGCTTCTATTAATTGGCTATCTAATATAATTTGAATACATTAAATTCTAAAACAACACCATTAACTTTCACGTTTAGAATTCTACCTTATTCATAATCAGAATAATCACTGAATCAGTCCACATAAATACAAATTAAGTAAAATAAAGTTGTTTTCCTTTACTATGTGAAAAACATAAATAAAAAATCCTCGAAAGAACTTTTTCAATCAAAAATAATCTTCACATTTTATTTCAAATAATTGAAACCCAGGGCACTATTCTATAAAGCAAACTGCCCTATAATCTAAACAATAATTATTAATCACATCATAAATACAAACAAAACATCAATTAACTGTAGCCTTAATGGTCCACTGACAGCAGTCTCGTTGCTCCATTCTGCTGAAGAAAGTACAAAATCCATATCAAGAAATCTACATGCGTGAAAACGTAAAAACAAAAAAAACTCCAACGTAGAAGGCAACGATATCTAGTAGTCGCATCTAATCACTCTGCAGGTTAGTCTGGCCAACATACAGGAAAGCGAAGGGCACACACGGTCTCGAACCTTCGTGGACACGAATCTCGACGGGGAGCTGCCGGTGGAGCTATAACTCTTCTCCATGAAGCAGCTGCGTTGCTGATAGCCACTCGGTTGCTGGGCCAGTTTAGCAACAGGTGTCACATGTGACGGACCAAAAGGCTCCATCTTCTGTTGATGCTGTTGCTGCTGGCGGCTTTCGTAGCTCTTGCTCTCGAAGAAATCCGATCGGCTTTCCGAGTAAGAAGATCGCGACTCCATGTGACAGGTGGTAGACGAGGATTCGTGTTTGCCAAAGCACTTCTGCAACGACGCGACCGAAGATTTCTGTTGCAGAGGTTCATCGGTGTCAGCCATGTACCCACTCTCCTGTTGGAACGTTTTCACTTTGAACTTCGGAGATTCTGGCTTCTTGGCAACTGGACTCTTTGGGGCTGGACTCTTCATGGCTGGTTGAACGTAGATCGGCGGTGAGCCAGGTTTCAATTCAACCGGAGGAGGCTGAAATACCTGGTACTTCTGTTCCTGCTTAATCTCCTGCTCTTGTCTCTTCAAAGTGGTTTGCCTCTTGCAGACCGTCTCCTGTCGGTCTTTGCTGATCGTCTGTCCAGATAATGAAATCGATTCTGGAGGAACTTCGAATTTGGAGGGAGATTTCGTATGGCCTCCACTTGGCCTTCAAGTGGCCGTCCATGTCTGACTCGTAGTCACTCTCCTGGGCGAAGGTTCCTTTCATGAATTTCGTGGGAGTAGGGGGAGGAGCTACCCTTGGTGTCTTTGTAACTGGTGGGGAGGGCGACGGTTTGAACGGGAACGGTTCCAGGGGTTCCATGGGAGCTGGTTGCTTGGCTGGTAGAGGTGGAGGAGTCATTCGAACGTCTTTAGGTGGCAATGCTGGAGGTTCTTCTCGTTTAGGTGTTTGGGGGGTGGTTCTGATGCCTGCTTGAGGGATTTTAGGTGGCTGGTACTCTACAGATACATCCAGGTTCTTCTCGAATTTTTCGATCTTACTTTCCCTTACCATTGGCGCTGGGATATACCCTATTTCTGGAGGTGGGCCTGGTTCGAGGATAATCTGATCAGTGCTGGGTATTGGTTGCGGTGGATAATACACCTGGGGCGTAGGTTTCTTAGGTGGTTCGACGCTCCTGACCAAACCAGGAGCCTTTAAATCATCCGCGCCTGTCCATCGAGTCTTTGAACTGAACTGCTCGATCTTCTCAGATACTTCTGACTTCTTCGTGTCACGTTCACCAGAGTATTTCTCGTACATGGACTTCTCTTCGATCTTGTTCACTGTGTGATCGACCTTGATTGTCTTCGCGTCGTAAATAATGGGCTGAACTTTCGGAGGTGACGGAGCTCTCTTCGTTAGTTTCTCCATCGTCTCCTGTTTCGAACTCCAGGAACGTTTTTCCAAAGTACTCGACGACTCCATGCTGGTTTTCTTGATCCCGCCTCCTGGAATCTCTTCTACTTCCTGTCTGGATTCCTTGGACGAAGTTTTGTAGTCTTCGCCGGGGCTCTGCCATTCGTGCTTGAATTTCGTGGACGTGTCCTCGTGAGGTGGCCAAGATTTCCTACTGGAGTCTGCACACTTTTTTGCCCAAGACTTCTCCATTGCCAGGCCGTCGGCTGACGGCCTAGGCGAAGACGACCTGAGGATTTCCTGATGACTCGAGGCGGCCGAATGACACCTGTACTCCGAGAGATCGGTGGACACGTGCGACCTGGTCTCCACGTCTGACGACGAAGACCAAGGTCTGCTCGGGGACGTTGGCCTCAGGCTCGGTGCAAAGTCCTTCTTCTCGTGGACATCTTTCTTCACGCAGATCTCTTCAACTATCTCTTTCTTTCCGAGTTCGAACGGCGGAGGTGGCATCGAGAACGTTGGCGCTGGTGCTGGTTTAGGTTGTTCGATAATTTTCGGAGAGGCCGACGGGAATATCTTCACACCGCCGATTGGGGCGTCGATAGGGGATAGGGTTTTGTCGAATGATTCCTGTAGTTGTTTAGCCTTTATGGACACGTCAGGGCGTTTTTTTTTCACCTCTTCCGGCTTCGGCATGTAACCAATCTCTGGGGGTGGTTCAGGCACCAAGTTGAAACCGCCCATCAATATTTCCGAGCTCTCTGACTTTGTCTCTGTTTTCGACATCATCAGAGATCCTTGAAGGGACGATGACCCTGAAGTGATTGTCTCTTCTACGACTGTTTTCTTTGTCTCTACCGGTGATGGTTTATAAGGCTCGTATGGGAAATCGAACAATTTATTGTCTACACCCCTAAAGGCAGTATTGCCTTGTTCCAATTTAGTGAAAATCTCGTGGACAGCTTTCTTCGTCGTTTGAACCTCCGGAGGCCTTGGTTCTGGCTTTCTGACCTCTTGGTAGGTTGTCGATCTCTCGTAATTTTTCGTCAGATTTCCTACTTTCACTTCGTGGCCATCGGTGTCGTCCACTAATTTGATCATTCCCTTTGGACCTTTTGGTGTCGCCTCTGTATCCTTCGTCATCGACTCGAAGAAACTTAGGGCGTCTTTCTTGGCTATTGTCGATGTTTCGATATTCTCGTTTTCGATTGTCGTTTTTTCTTCGACCACCGTAGACTTCGGTTCGATGATTTTCTTTTCCTCGCGAATCACTTCTTTGACCAGAGTTTTCTCTTCCCTCGTCGGCTCTATCAACGACGGTGTCTTGTGTTCTAGCTTCATGTGGAACTTCTGTTCCGATTTGGTTTCGGATTGGTGGGATTCGATCGTCGACGAGATTGTTTCCGATCGACACATTTCCGGCTGTTCGATCTTTTCGACTGTACGGGTCTTTTGAGACGTTGACATAGATGTGACGCTTGGTGGCGGTTTTATGAATGAACTCGGTTGCATCAGTGGCTTTGGTACCTGTTCTGTTGTTTGTTTGATGGAAGAGGCTTCCCTCTTCTTTTCGTCGGACTACGTAAATACGAATAAATTTATAGCGTCTGTTTTGATTTAAAAGTGCTGTTAGTTCAAGTATACATATTAACTGTAAATATTGTATTGTTAGTGTGAGTTATATTTATTATATTGTATATTTATTATAAATTGTATTACTAGATGTTTAAGATTGATGTGTTTTATTAGGACGTTTGGGTCTCGCAGTAAGGAATTCAAATATATTAGAGGTGTGCATACTTGTCCATGAGCATTGAAAGAACGCTAGCTTTACTGTAAGAGCTTTTATTCTCCAAATAAATATTTAATAATTCTGTAATGGTTTTTTTAAATATTTACTTTATATTAGAAAATTTTTTTATTACTTATAGGCCGAAATATACACATGAATTAAGAAGCATTCGAAATTCGTATGAGAAAAAGGTGAATACCTGAAGCAGCTTTTTATCTTGAACGTTCTCATAGATGACGGTTTTGTGAACTTCGACCATCGTATCAGGTGTTGGCTCGAAAACAGCGAAATCGGCTATGCTTTGCGCTTCTCCGCCAGCATTTGTTGCTCGAACCATGTACTTTCCACAATTTTCTTTCTCAGCTATACAAATGATCCGTTAAAGTCACATTCAAATTCTCATGCATAAATTTTGTTTTAATTTCAACCAGCACATTAAAATTCACGTTTCGAAGGTTCAGAAATGAAATCAAAATTCAACAATTAAATTCAAATTTCATCAGTTAAATCCAAATATCAACGGACAAAATACCAATAACCGAACCGAGACTTTTATGAACTGGCTAAATTAAATAATAACTGGCTTAAATTTCATACTGAGTTCTAGCAATCAAATTCAAATTAACTTCCAATTTATAAAAATCAAACTTATATTAAAGTTTAGATGTTAACAAGCACATTTAAATTCACATATAAGTTCTGATAGATACATTTGAATTCAAATAAAATTTTCATGTATACAAACTTAAATTCAATCAACAAAAGTCAAATTAAATATTACATTTATAGTGTCGAATTTAAATTCTAATAACTTGCAGGCCTACCTTTTTCAATAATTAGCATATAACAATTTCCTTGCTGTTTCATTCTCAATTCAGGCGGTCGTTCTTTGATCGGGATGTCATCCTTGAACCACGAGACGGTGGGTTCTGGCGTTCCTGTAATTTCCACCTCCATATTCACACGATCGCCACGCTTCACAATTTGAGCTTGAAGTCTTCTGCCAAATACCGGCGGGAATATCGTTTCTACAGATTTGTAAATAAATTGATAAACATGACAAACTTTTGAAAACATACAAATTTATAAATGTACCAATTTCTTTACTTTCATATTGCACCTAAAGTTATAAAAGATTTTAGGAAATATATCGTTGTAACATTTTAATCAACATTATAAGTGTACTAATCAGTCATTTTGACTGCTTTGGTAGTTCTAATGTTAAAAATTACGCTTAACGTTTATACTTGAAAAAGTAGAATTTTATCAGTGAATAAGTTTAAGTTATCTTTACTTTTCACAACTAGATCGGCTGTGCTGCTGGCTGATCCAACATCGTTGCTCGCGGTGCAAGTATATCGTCCAGCGTCCTTAACATTAACGTTCTTTAATTCCAATCGGACATGATTGTGCCCGTAACTTATCGCTACGCCGTCTTTCGTTTTCAGCTCCTGTCCGTTCTTCGACCAACTGATCGAAGGCTGAGGGAAGCCTGCGTAAGATATGCAAAATAAGTTTCGTACGCTTACAGAGCAATCAAAGTTACTTCAATGTAGGTTAACAAGTCATTAAACTCTGGGGTGAAACATTATTCTGGCAAGTATAATAGTCGGTCATGCGAAGCGAAATACTTGAGTGTGATAGTTTCATGCTCTGGTTGATGGAAGAAGAATGTGCTTGCCAAAAGTAAGTGTCAAGCACCTTTCTGGGTTTTTCGAAATACTTTGTTGCCAATAATATATTTCTGCATGCATTACAAACCACTGAAAACAATTACATTATAGGTGTTTGTGAAGATAATATTGATATTACCGTTTGTTAGTATTGATGGTATCGTATTTGAGAAAGATAAGAAAATGTTAATGTTATTATTCTTAATATTAATCCTTGAGGTATGGTCATTGGACAATCGGAGACTCAGCGAGTTTAGAAAAATAATATAACAGTTCTAACATCGATCAATCTTCGATGACTTTTGTCAAATATTTATTCTAATTGAATTAATTGCTATGACAGGTAATAAGAAATTAAAACCATAGTTGTAATAATTTTAATTTACGGGAAATTGGAAGTATGTCTGTAATCTTACCGTCGATGATTCCTTCGAGGACAACATCGGTGCCTTGATCAACGATCATTCCCGTGACCGGTGACACGAACCTTGGTGCGGTCGATTTTCTGGTCGGTTTCGATACTTGTGCAGCTTTGATGTCGCGTTTGATTCCTTCTTCGTCCTGGGATACAACAACAGTCTTTTCTTGTCGAATTTCGCCTGGTTGGTCTTGTATGATCTTTTCGTGTTCCTCGATCTTGTACGACTGCGAATTTAGAAATCGTCGTGAAATTAGTTTTTAATACAATTAGCATAAAAACACTAAAGTTAATAACAGTATATTACACTACAGTTAATTACTATTAGTATTCTAATATTATGTACTTCTAACTTTTTTAGTAAAACTGTACTTCTAACTACAACAATTTTTTTTATTCTCATCTTTTCATTATGATCTGTTTTTATCAATAATGTCCTTTTTGGATTAATTTCTTGATTTTTACTATATCCTGTATTATAATTTATAATACTCTAATAACCAAAACAAAATTTTTTAGACATATCATAGTTTCATAATACAGTAGTTGGTTTCAATTAAATAATAAAAATGTTAATAATATAATATCAACACATAACTACCAAAACTATTAACTAGATTATTATTTTTCTTCAAAGTGGAAGAAGGGCGTATATTACATCAGCTGCTTCTATAACTACTACAGTAAGCAATTAAGTGTTTTTACGTTTTCTTATCAATTTTATGCAATATACCCCTTCTCCTAGACACCCATTCAATTGTGTTATTCAAGGATTACCTATTATTATTTTCCATACTTCACAAACTACCAGATAACTACGAAATAATCTGCATACATGATACTAAATCCCATTTAATCCTAAAACAATCATACCTGCACAACAGGGGGTGTCCCATTTTCCGACGACGATTGCTCGGTGCTGTGTACGGTTGTCTTCACGCAAACGCTGCTCGGCTCCTGTCCAGACTTCGTCATCGTCGACGACATCATCGACGAGATGTACTCTTTCTTCGTGGTCTTCTGCGTGGTGGAGGACTCCGTGACGATCTCCGACATCTTGGTCAACATTTTATTATCACCCCCGATCTCGGACATCTTCTCCGCAGAGAAGTGTTTCTCGCTGCTACTCGCCGCGTGCATTTCCTTACTGGGCACACTTTCGACTAATTCAAGCACCCTCGCAACTATTGATGCCCCCTCGTCTGTCTTCTTTTCCTCTTCCCTTGGCCAGCCACCTAATCACGATGATTAATCACGTTATCAATAGATCGATGACTGTTTTTTGGCTGACTGCCTCCGAATTTTTGTATCCGTTAGTCATGTGTTAGTTACAATATCATTTCCTTGAAGGGGCTAACGAGGAAACTTCGGTAACACGAAAATTTCAATTTTTTTTTTAAACTTTGCATGTTTGGGGACCTCAATGGAAGTACCAAGATTGTGTTTTACTATTTTCTTGGCTCTTCAGGGTGAAAACACTGCTTGGGTTTAGAGGATTGGAAGTTTATTTCTGGACTCCCGAGGGGTCGCTTATTTTTTTTAGTATAACACTATGACAAATGTGCCATTTGAATTTGAAATCGCGGAAGTTTAATGCCCGTTTCGGATCGATCTATTCCCTTGAATCACAGATCTATTAATACGTGGCCCGTTTAATCGATGCCATGCTAGAAGTCAGATCGGTGAATCCGGAATTGGAATCTGCGTGGATGGTGCAATCCTCTTGCAAAGATTCCGTGTCTGGTCGACTCGGAATGACAGGTGGGAGAGGATCGTCCGTAGATCGCAAGACTAATCAATGGCATAAAAATTTCGTTTTATAAGAATGTTTCCTTTCTTCGTATTTCTTAAATAATTGACGAAAGAAAAGGTTAACCCACTAAAATCCTTAAGAGAAAAAAGAAGTTGCTGTTTTCACTCCTCTCTTTAAAAGTCACTTCATAAAACAAAATGTATTTTTTTTACCTTCTTATTTTACCATCGGAAAGAGGGAAAATTTTGATACGGGAGACATGTAAAATGCCATTTTTTTTTTTTTAAAGTGGTCTTAATACACTCAGACTCTGAGGTCCAAACATATTTTATTTTATTCCCATTGTTATACTGTAACTATAAGGTGTCCCAAAATAGCTTCGACTTCCGGAAATGATGGATTCCAGGGATTATTTGAAACAACCTTTTTCCTTAGCAAAAATGTTATCCGAGGCTTTTTTAAGGAAATATTAAATGTCAATTGTCTTTGTTAAGGAAAATGTTGTTCCAAATCACCCCAAGAATCCTTCATTTCCGGGAGTCAAAGCTATTTTAGGACACCCTGTATAGTTCTATATATCTATACAAGGGGTACGCCAGTTATACACACATTTCGAGGGAGTACATAAACCATAAAATATTGAGAATCACTGGTACAGGGTCCTAAAAAAAACCATTAGAAATGCAAACGAACCGTTCCTAGTGTTTCACAAAGATCAATACTAATTTTGCCAAGCAATAGTGGGTTACTTATTGTTACGTCTAATAGATCTGCTGTCTAGTTCCTCTAAATCGTACACCTTTTGGTAATCGAAAGAAGTGACATTCTCTGGCTGCCAACCAAATTCTGTTACGCTCTCAGGACGCGGGTTCGACCCAACATATCTGGACCGCGAAAATGCAACCTGTCCCGAATTCGCTCGTGAATTCGCGAAACATACGTCCGGATGCGCGTCCAACGCAACGTTGCCGGACGTAGGGAAAAAATGGCCGAGTAGGGACAAAGTGACGTATAAGGGAGTGATAGAGGGGGGAAATTTTTATTAGTAGTAAAATTTATTAGTAATTTAGCGTGGTATGCACAAGTAGTAGTAGTGTATACAAGGTACTTTTTTATCAAGAAAACATGCAAACTACTGGAATACTATCCACTATATGAAAAAATAGTTCAGTCAAGAAGTGAATGGTTTCAGGTAGAGGTCATATGGAGGTGATATACGTTTTTTAAAATGGTAATTACATAATTTTAGATACAGTAATCAAAAAAGTATTAATTTATCTCGCAAAGTCACTAATATAGAAGATATTTTAATCTGAATATTGCAAAGTGATACTTAAGCACATATGTCTGTATCTTTCTTGAAATGACAATCAGTTTGCACAACATGAGATTAAAGTATCTCCCAAACTAATAATTTTCCCATATAAATAGTTTTATTTAAAACTACATGATTCTATTTAAAATCTAGAAAAAAAAAAAAATAAAAAAAACTAATTAACCAGATTATGTGACTATTGAATCTTCTTATCTGAACCATTTTTCCAGCATGTTTTCTTTAGAATCGGACACCCTGTATAGTTTCGTGTGACATATTGTCACTACGATAGGGTATTCTTCTGGCAACGCTGGTCCAACGTGACCATTTCTAGTCGCGAAACCGGCCATGGAAGGGAGACACACTTCTAGGAAGCTCGTCAACGGTATCCCTGAACTTTATGGGACGCGAACGGTTGTAAAAGAGTTATGTTTGGAGATGGGGAGCCGCCGAGGTGTGGACGAAACAGACCGTAAGCCCTTCGACCGGCTAACGAAACGCAGTTTGCCTACGATCGACGACAGAAATAGGTATACCGTTCACCTACCGCGACGGAAAATCGAGCACTGGGACGCAATTTATAAGTCGAACACGATCTAGCCCGAGTCGTCGAAATTGCGGTCGTCCCCGCGAAATTTAGTGCCACTTAATCTGTACATAGTATGTGCATAGATTCAGTGCGTGGAATCACCTCTGAAAAGTACGACGAATAATTTTTCTTACAGACTGTATTTCCTGTTTTACATTCTGATATCCATCATACGGATGGCAATGGAAATAACTATTTCCATAAGTTAATTTACAGGAGTCAGAGTCATGGAAAAATGAATTTCTAGAATAAAAAAATGTATTGCCATATGAAAAGTATATAATACTAAATTTGGTTAGTTTTTGTTAGAATTAAAAATATTTTTCTACCATTTTCTATAACACTTTGAAAATGATGAATAAAGACTTTGGAGAAGGAAGACGAATATTATTGAAGCATACATTTCTGATTTTTTCCAAAAAAGTATTGAATTTAATATAATATTGATAATATTAAGATTTTATCATTATTGTAGAGGTAATAGCAATAACTCTTAACGTATTAAAATTATTTCTAGTTTGCTGGTGACATTATTGGAAAAAATTCATTTCACTTTACAGAATTGAATAAATAAAACAAAACAAATATAAAAAAATTCACAATGACACACATTACGAAGCCTATTCGCCACACGAAGAAGCATAATTTTACCAAACCACCTGCACCATTTCGCCACTTCATCTATTAGTCATCTCACGAGCCATTTTCACATCAGACAACTCATCCGCCTAGGAACCACACATTAACACCCCATAAAATCCGTATCCAAAAGAACAACTAATACTCCCTCAAAAAACGACCTTTTGAGAAATCGCAGAAACACTTCACCCACAGAAATCTTAAAGCTTCGACGATAGAAAACCAATTCTAAGACAACATCAAATCTATCAAAAAAAAAAGCAATTTTAAATAAAAAACACTTTTGTTACAGCACATATACACTGGTCTGATCTCTGTAAAAGTAGGATCAAAACGTATTTCGAAAGAATTACCAATTACGTTAACCAAATTATAAACATACATTTTACAAACATCCAACCTAACGGAAAAAAATTTGTAATGGAAAGCATATAGACAGGTATGAATTCTGACGGTTTCGTCCGATTTTGTTACCTCGTAGGGGGAGTATTCGAAGGATAATCTCGTAGCCCCAAAGATGACAAGTTGCAAGGACGATTAATGGGTCAGTCGATGATGGTCCGTGTCCGATTCGACGAGATACGACTCAGTAGGAGCGAGGCTCCCCGACGAAGACGCGCTTAAATTCCCTGGGTTAGCGACTCTGGACTAGGCTACGTGCCGGGTATTCGTGCCGACAAAAATAACGTGGTTTCTGAGCGTGTGCGAACGGTCGAAACCGAGAAGGAGCAAGGGAGACGAGTCTCTCTCGACACAGCGATACACGGAACAGTCGGTCGGGGCCTAGTGGGAACACGGGAAACGCGGAACTGACCTGTCGCAAAGGATGGCTCCCATCAGGATTACAGTATACTTAGGGGTTGAAATATAGCGAGGTTGGAAAATGAGTAGCGTGTCGGAATAAACACCTTGAATCCGCAGAAAACGGGTTAAAATGTCAGGTAGGATTGTAAGAAAAAAAAACTGGAATCCTTTGCACTCGAAGTTATCTCTGAAAAGATCAAATCTACGGGGAATAAGGAAATTCCGAAAAAAGGAGGGTACGCTGAAAACAACCTGATAACTTGGCTAGGGCCGAAAGAAGGAAAGGTAAAACCCTTTGCACTCAAAGTTTTCTTTGAAGGAATAAATGTACGGGGAATAAGGAAATTCCGAAAAAAGGAAAGTACGCTGAAAACGACCTGATAAATTGGCCAGGGCTGTAAGAAAAAAAGCTGAAACCCTTTGCACTCGAAGTTACCTCTGAAAAGATAAAGTGTACGGGGAATTAGGAAATTCCGAGAACAAGAAAATATGTAGAGAACGAGTTGAAAATTCGGCCAGGATCGTAATTTAAATTAAACGGTCTTCGAGTAAACCGTAAAAAATCTATTATCAGAATGTAAACACTGTCGTTCGATTACTTTCGTTACTCACTGTATATCGTAATAATTCCGGCTGGATGTTTTTGCACTTGCGCGTATACACACACGTACACATGGACACGCACAGGTGGGCGTAGAAACGTCAGATTTAATTGCCGCGGCATGTGCACCAACCTAATATTAGTCGTGACTCAAAGTGACTTTTCGTCGGTGAAAGAAGAGAAAAGAGTTTGTTTAGTCGCCCGGGTTAAAAATAAGACCCTCACGTCCATATAACACCAGGTTCGCGGCAATGGATCACGGAATATCATTTAACCACAGCAGTTAATTCCGTACCAAGAATAAAGTACACGACAAACAACAATATTTATTAACTTAAACCACGAACATCAATAGAATTACACGCTCCGTGTAAATGAAAATAATTTTTCGTTTTTTAATCTTGTCTGGAAAGATCAAAAAAAGTTCTTCATTAGAGGGTATATGAGGTTATACATGCCTAAAAAAAAGAAAAACATTGGTGCTCGAGTAATAAATGGAATGCACTGAAATTTTTACTCGTGAAGAGCGAAGCGGAACGGTGTCGAATTTCAGTTCTTTACCAGTGTGTCGCAATGTGCCTACTCTTTGCGCGTATGTATATCGAGATATCGTGTCTTCCTCTTGGTTCAGCGAGGTGACAGTGGTCTTCGTCGACCATCTATCAGACCCCTCGTGAATGAAGCTGCCATTCGAGTCGGATATACGCTTATTAATAACTACCGTGGCACCGTTGCGAAGCGGTTCGACGATATTTTGGCAACGCGTAAACGGTTTTCGACGCAACCCGGGCTGGTAATAAAAATGATTCGATTTCCAAAGATCGACAGGAATGATGGAGCGAGAGCCACGAAATCTGATTCTTGGGATCGTAATCATACGATTCGACTGAGGATATGTATGCAAATATGGAACTTTATGGATTAAATTTTTGAAATTTTACGCTAAGAATTTTGTTACCTTGTTAGGGATTCTAATAGCTTTGAAATAAAAATAAAATCTGAACTTCTGGATTATTTTTTGGAATTGGATGAATTCATTTTTTGAAACTGGACGCAAAGAGAAATGCTCAAGGAAATCGATCAAATTTAATTTCTAATAACGACGTCAATCTTAAATCGATATTCCAAGGTATAAACTCAATTTTACAATAAATTCCAACAGATAAATTTAAATTCGTGTTATCAAAGCGTATAAAGAAAAAGTTGCTGTTTCAAAATTTAATTATTGAAATGTTCATTCATGTGAAAATGATAGTTTTCTTTAAAAGATTAATTAGCTCACTAATGAATTAAATGTAAAATAGTTCTTGAAGTAGTAGCTGTAAACTTACCAATCTCTAAACGAGCACTGCAGATCGCTTTGCCAGCAGCGTTCTCCGCCACGCAGGAAATAGTACCGACATGCGTGCTTCCGGTCTCCGGAATCGTTAGCACCTGTCGATCCCCGCTGACCGACACCAAGAAGTCCTTGCCATGAACGGGACGATCGTTAAATAGCCATTGAATCTGAGAATCAGACGTTCGATTCATTGAAAAATTTAATTTAATCCCACCATTCACTTTACTTCGTAAGGTTTCCAACTTCTATAATTGCATTTTATTCTATTCTTCGGCAGAACAAGTTCACAAAAATTAAAGTTAGGCAATAAATCGAGAATTAAAATTCAATTTATGAATGTTTTAATACCAAAAAATGTTTCTTTTTTATATTTAATGTTATAATGAATATATAAATGATAATATGCTAGAAACGATATAAATGTACAAGTTTGTGACTTCAACGTCACATGCCTTTGTAAAACACATTAATATTCGACAAATAAATGTTTCTATAAGATAAAATACAATCTTCGAAAGTCATATGCCTGAAACTAAATACAATGTAACTGTCAGTATTATTTTGAAAATCGATCAAAACTTGAACATCAATCCCTTTGTCCAAAAATTGAATTCAGATATAGAGACTAAAATCTAGACTATACCTTCGAAGTTGTATCGATACTCTAAAATTCATTAAACTACTTTCCAAATATTTTCATTCGGTTGTGATTTACATGGATCACAGAATTTCCATTATACATCCAAAAAATCTGTGCGATACTATTAGGTGTTACTACAGTTACCACACGTAATTTTATAAAATCGTTTCGATCGTCAAGTATCACGACAAAAATGCCCAAACCACAGTTATCACACGTAATTTTATTAAATCCCTTCGATCGTCAAATATCACGAGTCCGTGGATCAATTCTGTCGCGAAATTTTCCGAACTATGCAACCGGAAATGCACACATGAGAACGATACCAATACCTGGCCACAGTGTCACAGAAAATTCCGCGGAGAGCTGTTCGCGGCGCGGCTGCAACCGCGAATTTCCACTTCAGGTGCATTGTTCCTGTTTAAATATAACCCGGAGGCAAACGAAATTACTCTTGGTCGGCCACCTCCTGACAGGCTGGCCAACTTTGCACCCTATCTTTCACGACGTCCCAACACCTTACCGCTCTCGATCTGGCGCCACGTTTCGAGAAGCTGCTGTTTGGGTAATTATTTTTATCCCCGTAAGGGGCGCAAGATTTACGATCCCTGAATTCGTTTATTTGCAAAACAGGCTGTAAACGTGTTCACGTCCAAAATCATCCTAATTTTATCTTTCGATAATAATCGGTAAACAAATATGAACATTATTTTTTCTTCGAGTGCTTGTTACTGATCAAGTTTCTATTATTGCTATTATTTATAATATAATAATTATTGCACTAAGACGAATACGTTTAATCTGAGATCTCTGGAATCATGTAGAACTTCTTTCATTTATTGTCCTCAGCTGAATTCCTTCTGTAAAGATCTTGATCTTTTCGTTAGGTCTATTCAGTCTTTCAAAAGCGAAGTTCACAGAGTCTTGTAACTACCATTTGGCTTTCCATTTTATTTACTAGTTATATGTTTCATTTAGTTATATTTTTAGTTTATTTTAGTTATATAATATATCAGTTACATTTTTAATTTTTAATATTCGTCCGATTTATATTTTATACAAACATGTTTACATTCTTTTCTCTTGTATTCTAATGGTAATTAACCCGTAAATAAATAAATAAATAAATTATATTGTTAATTTTTATGATAGTATTCAAAGAGATCTTAAGTGTATCTTTGTATTGACGAGCGGACGAGGTCATCGTGGACAGTCATGTAATTAGTATTATTTATACTGTCGACAGTAATTGTTGTTAATGAATTTTCAACGTTCAAGCGATCATAAGAGTTGTGTCTGTCAGTTGATGAGAAATTTTTATACAAAGTGCTTTGTAATTGATTTTTTAGTTTCAACATTTACCTTTGGGGATGGCTTTCCAACGACGATGCATTCGAACTTTGTCGACACTCCTTCAGATACGTTTCTGTCTTCGAATCTTTCCTTGAACGTAGGCGCAATGAGTTTTTCCTCCATTTGCACGAATTCTTCTTTTCTTCTGAAGTCGCCCAATGATCTGACGACCAACCTGGCGAATGCCTTCGCCTCTCCGTGAGTATTGATGGCTTTCACGATGTAATTTCCACGGTCATCCGGAATCACGGACAGAATCCGAAGAATGCCGGTTCCATCTTCTTTTTTCTGGATCTAAACATTGAAATTTCAATTTCAAAGCTTTGCAATTATGTACGAAATTTAACTTCCTGACAGCGGAATTAAATTTATATGAATTACGTAATTGTTATTCCAACTTTAATATATAGTAAAATTTAAATTAACACCTGTCCACAGGATAATTTTAAAGAATGAATCAGAAATTGTAATAGTATTTAGACGTTTACGCCGGTGCAATGAAATTAAATGAAAAATGAAAAGGTATTGTAAAGAAACTGATAAATTAGAATGTGATATTAATTGAAAAATATAAATCGTAACTCTGCCTTTAAGAACACGACGAAATTTTCGAACAATCCGATATATTGAATTATTATAATTCAAAATGCGTTAAATTCTGATTTGTCGTGGTGAAAAAGAAAGAACAAAATATACTGTAAGCATACTAAATATAAGTTAATAATGTAAATTAATAAATTAAAGTACCAAGATTCTTTCACTTCCGATGATCTCGCCGCTGTCCGAGAACCACTTGAGTTCCGGTTTCGGTTCTCCAACCACCGCGCAATCAAATATGGCGTCCTCGCCTTCGGCCACCAACGAATCCGTCGGAAGTTTCACGAATTTTGGTGGCGAGCCAGTAACTAATATTTCCTCGACTTCTGGTCGCGTTTTGCCCAAATCCGCAGGAACGGAGACCGCTAAAGGAACATATTTTCTTAATTAGCCGCGTGTCTCACGAAATTAACCCTTAACTACTAACCACACTCGTCTCAGAGACAAATTCAAATTTTTTTTCACTAGCACGATCTAGTGGAGAATTTTATGAGCTCTGGAGTTCGAGTACCTTCAATTGGGCCAAATTATGTAGAAACCTAACAATCCTCAAAATGACAAAAAAATTAGTTAAACACAGTACAGATCCCATAATTTTGTGATTTTTATTTGGCAAAAAAATGACGAACTGATAGAACAATGCATATACTATACAATTATTGAAACTACCAAGCCATAGATAATTCAAAATAAAATTAAAATTAATTGTAGAAAATTTAAAATAGTACTATTTAAAAAGCCATTGAAAAATATTATAAAACAACAACAAAAAATAAAATATATCCAACAGAAGTAAATCTACCTTTTTTAAAATAAAAATCTTCGAACTAAATTTACTTCATTTCATATTATTGAGGATTGTCAGCTTTCTGCATAATTTGGCCCAATTGACAGTTAAGTGGCAACCTATTTCCGAAACGCTAACGAAACATAACATTCACATGGTTATTACATAAAAATGTTACAAAGTTAGTCGTTGTCGGATCATTTGTCTCCGAGACGAATGGTATGTGGTTAAGGGTTAACGTTTTACGATTCTTCAGCATTGTCGTACGTACGCGTTATCGTTAACGTGCACTGACTAGACGCTTCGCCGCCAGAATTAATGGCGACTACTTTGTACACACCGGCATCGTCCAGGAAAGCCTCGTGGATAATCAGGGAGCACTTGTCGCCCTGGAACAACAGCTGGAAATCGGCGGACTCCTTCACCGGTTGATCGTCGTGGTACCAGATCACCTGTGACAACAGATTTCACAATTCACAGGTAATTATTTCGAATTTGAATATAATATAAAGGTTTTGAAATTTATTCATTGCACCAACAAATAATCCACTACATCTGTTATAAGGTTGTGAATAAATTTAAATTCAGAATTCTTATTCGATCTTTTACTCGCAAGGGAAGGTACGGAAGTGTCCCCCTCCGATTTTGATGAAACTTCGTATGTCTATTAACCAGTCAAAAATAAGGGATACATATTTTTTTTTATCGACTGAAACACGACTCTAAGGGGTGAAAGCACCCCTCTTTACATTTAAAATAAATTTTCATGCTAATTCCTGGAGAGTTGATCACTTTGATAATGGTTTATTTCACAAATAACAATCTAATATTTTCGTGTACTCACTTCCGGTTCAGGCTGACCAACGATAACGCAGTCCAACCGAACGGACCGGCCTTCCTGGATCGCTAGATCCTTCAGGGGCATCTGGATCTTCGGGACCACGGGCTCCATGTCGCTGCAGCCCAGCTCGGAGTCGCTGGTCTCGTGTGGAAGACGTCCTTTCACCGACACGTTACAGGTGACTGTCGCTTCGCCTGCGTCGTTTCTAGCGGCGACCATGTAACACCCGGCATCCTTCGCGAACGCCTCGGTGATGGTCAAACTGGTCCGACCGGCGTCCGTTTGTATCTGAAACAACGAATCGCGACACCCTGAACTCTCGATCCCCAGTCCTTCGTCGAATGTCTATTGCTCTATTTCGAATTCGGCGCGTGCAAGTCGCTAAAAATACCGGAGGGATGCTCGAAAAAGGCTCAAGGAAGGGATTGTGGAAGCGAGAGGAGACGAGGAAACGTTTCTTTCTGCGACGATCCTATCGTTGCATCGATCTCGTGATTTTACGATCGATAATAATCGCGTACTATCGTGACGTTTTGCGATAATATTTCTGTGGTTAGATGGTAAAACGTGATATGTGCGGTTTTCATGATTTTACAGTAGAGCAATTTTTAGAATATTTTATTTTTATTCAATAGTTAATAAATGCAAAATAACTGTTGTGTGATAAGTAATAAGGTTTGTGGAATAAGTAGTAAGATTTCTATGTCATCGGTTAAGGGTTTAAGGTTGTTCAGCTGTGAAAAGTTACTATGTTTTTGAAAGTCCGTTAATGGTTACCTCGCCTTTTTTGTGAACTACGTGACACAGAAATGTCAGGTTTTTCCAACTTCTCGATTTTCTTTAGACGCACACAGGAGAACATAAATATATCTTAATTTTTATGAAAATTAATTTTGTGCAAAAAATTCAGAACGTTTTTGTACAGATGTCAACACGTTTAAGAAAATTAATTGAAAATCTTGGCATTTAAGGGTACAATACTATTTTGTAATACATTTCCATATACGTCGATTTTTTTTTCTTCTTTTAAAAATGAAATTTTTCTTTCTAAGTCATTATGCCGTGCTTTTTAGTTATGAAAAAGCGAAATGAAGTGTTATTTAATATGCAACTACGCACCAACTAAAACTTAAATTAGGATTAAAGTGCTATGAATATGGTATTTGCATTAATTAATCTGCTTCACATATCATATCTTGGGATCCTAATCTTCGGTAATTCTAATAAAGCTAATAGATCCAGTGATACTGGATTTTATACTGTTTCCTGACGAAAATATTTCTAATAAGCAACCGTAACAGACATTACCTTCACATTCATCGTTTCTTCGATCTGTCTACCGTCATGGTACCAAGTCAACGTAGGCATTGGATTTCCTGTCGCCTCGCATTCGAGTCTCACCCTTTGACCCGCTCTGCCCATTGCATTTGACAAAGCTGTCACGAAACGTGGTTTCTCCATGTTATTTCTCGAATCTGCAATTATGCGAATAAAATTCTGTTTAATCGAAAAATCCTCAAGAAATTATTAAATAAACAAAACCAACAGTATTCTTACTTTGTACATCCAGAAAGGCGGAAGTAGAGGCGTTGCCCAATCGATTCGCTGCTTTACAGGTGTAAGTAGCTTTATCCTCGAGGAACACTTCGTCGAATTTTAATACAGCTTCGCCGTTATTGTAAGTGATAATGTAATCAGGAGAATTGTCAATATTTGTCTCGTTTTTGTACCACTGAACCGTTGGCAGAGGGTTACCTTCCACGACACAGTCCATTCGAAGAGAGGAGCCTTCCGTTACGACTGACGCTACCAATTCTTTTACAAAAACTGGCGGGCTGGGTTGCTCTTCCGGTGCTGTTTCTAAAAGTTCAGAAACAGTAGAGTAAATTATTGATATTTGCATAAGTATTTGAGTTACATTTATTATAGTATATCCAATATATAGGGTGTTTTGGAAACGGTGGTGTGACCTGGAGGGGTTTCATTCTGTATAAGAAAAAATAAGTCTAAGATGAGAATAACAATTTTTCTTTTCGAAAAAGAGTCGAATTTGAAAGGTAACTGGTACTGAGTTTAACTATTCTTCAATAATATCCTTAATGGAAAAATCAAGTATATTTCATTTTCCCTACTGTAAATTAGTCTGCAAAAATATTTGCATAAATATACCCAGCCCATTTATAGTTAAATACTTAGGCGTTTGTTCATATCATCTTTTACGTTCCTTAAACAATTATAGTAAAAGCAATGAACTCACCTTTGACTGTCAAAGTGGCAGAGGTTTCAGCTGAACCAGCAATATTGAACGCTCTGCAAGTGTACTGGGCAGAATCTTCGGCAAACGTTTCCTCGATCGTTAATGTGCAAAGACCGTGCGTGTACGTCGTTAGGTAATCAGGGTTGTTCAAAATTGAAATTCCATCCTTGTACCAGACCACTTCTGGTAACGGGTGACCGACGAGATTGCATTGAAAAGTGAACCTCTCGCCTTCCTGCACAGTGGCATCGTGCAGAGGAATTGAAAATTCTGGAGCCAATGGAGGAACGTCCTCCGTCTGTACTTTTTCATAAGATTTCTCAAGAGATTCTTCAGTGACGATCTTCTTAAATGGACTCGCCTCGCGTTGGAACGCTGGTACTGTCTTCTCAATTTCCGTCTGAAATTTAAACGTAATCATGATCACGACATTATAACGTTAGTATGAGTATTATAATAAAACTACAGATCTTCCTTCACATTTACACTTTTATATAATAATTTTTCAAAACTGGAATTAAATAATAATTTATTTTTCGTATTATTGATTTCACGAAATAAGATGGGAAATAAAATCTATGGTAAATATTATTACTATTTTGTTGCATTTCGGTTAGTTTTACGTAACATACGTTTAAGTTTTTTTTACTCTATGCATTCTATGAGTGTTATGAACAATTGAGTATTATGAGTAGTCATGAATATTAGGAATTGTATGAGTATTAGGTATTGTACGAGTATTATGAATGGTATGAAATATCACGAATAGTGGAAACAAATTTTTATAATCACCAAAACAATAGAATAACATATCACCTTTTGCAAAATGTGTATTTCTTTAGTGGTAATGGCGGAAGTGACTGTTTCATGGACGAAACTTTCATCGGTGGTTTCAATTTTTTCAGTCTGAGCGGACACGGAGCACAACGGTGGAGCTGAAACAGTCTGCGCCTCCCTTTCCTCTTTTAATTTCTTCGCTTCCATCGTTGCTTTCTCCAACGTTTCAGCCGCGAGTTTTTCGGCGATTTTTCTGGCGTTCTCAGCTTCATCCCTGGCTGCTGCCGCGGCAGCCATTTCTACTTTAACAGCCTGCAACTTTTGGTCCGTTTCGTGTTTCTCGATTCGCAGTTTCTCTCGGATGTCTTCTGCGTTCTTTAAATTTTCAACCAGCGTTCGTAGCTCGGAAGAAACGACCGCGAACGAGTCGAGCATCTGACGATTCTCGACTATCACCTCGTTGAATTGGGGTAGCCTGTCTGTTCCTAAATCAAGAGAGTTGTTGCGTTTGAATAATCTTTAAATAATTCGTTAAAATTCGCCATAGGGACGCTAACGATAAAATACTTGAAGTACCAAGAAATCATCCACAGTGCTTTTTAACGCTGGTACTATCAAACCCATCAAAATGATGAACTGCAGATTATTTATTTTACAATTACTGAAATATAATAGTGCCTTTGGCGGAATTTATGTTGGCTTTTAATTTATTATACATTTTATGTTATACTATATTATGCAATTTAATTCAGTATACATATACTGCTGGTAGGTCCAGTGTTAATATTATGGTAATACAATTTAAATTCAACCTATATTATTTTCAACTTAATAAACCTCTGAATAGGTAAGGCAAAGCTTTTGATAATTCCAAATTTTATGATTTAGTCTATGAAAATCAAATGTTGGTATAAATATTTGTAGTGCAGAATACCAACAATTATAGAAAGAAAACTTATTGTTATGTTGAAACCTGTACTGATTTTTTACAGAATATGAGCCGATTACAGGTCAAAGTGACTAATTCTACTTTTTCAATTTTTTCAAATTCATCTTTATATTTTGTATTTTTCTAGAATTAACCACATTGATAAATGAACGGATTATATGATTGTTGTAGATGGTATTATTTACCGAAAATGATGGTCGACAGTTCCTTCAGCTTCTCGATCCTCTGTTCTTGTATCTCCTCGCCTGGTTTTAAGTAATTATCAATTTCTTGCAGAAGCTCGATCGTGTCATTCGGTACTTTTACCGTGGTCGCTTTTCTTGCGATCATCATTAACAATTTACTGCCAGTTCTATTCCATTCCTTAGCTTCTTCCAAAAGTACGAAATACTCCACGCTCAAATTCATTCGTCTCTTCGTTTCTTCCACTCTAGCCTTAAGATTCCTCCATCTTTCTCTTAACGAAGCAATATCATTTGCAATATTTGGTGTCAAAAGTGTTATTGATTTTTCGGTCAACTTCACGAACGTCTCGATTCTCTCCTCCAGGATCTACGAACAAAGTGGAACCTTCAATTTAAGAACAACTATAATAAATTTCACCAGAAATAACAAATATTCAATCTGTAATAATTAAAGAATAGTAAAAATAAAAATTCTTCGGTTTAACGGTAGTTGTTAAATTTAATAATATTGACGACTATATTATGTATAGAATCAAATTAAATTTGATGGAAGCAAATTTAAATAGGGAAATGGAAGTAAATTTTTAGTCTCTTCCATTCTAGGTTTTCCTTTTCGACATATTGTGTGATTTGTAAAATAATTAATTGTAAATACTTGATTAATAAATATAGAAATTAATTCTTACCAGTACGGTTTTTTCAAATTGCACGAACGAAGCAGCAGTAGCTCTGGCTGCTGGAAGATTTTCACCGATTCTAGCTTCCACGTTTCTCAGATGATCGCTCAGATTCTGGAGTTCCATGTGGATTTTTTCCAGATCGTCAGCGAAGATGCAGGTTCGTCGATGCTCTTCAATCTTCTCGATTTCACGCTCGCAGTTCGTAAAATCGGTTCTCACCGACATCATGGCTCGTTCCAATTTCTCGATATCCTGAATATCAGCAGCCAGCCAAGCTGGTTCCTGCCTACGGATTCTGGCTTCGACTTCCTCCAGTTTTTCACTGATCTGACCCAATTGATCGTTAACGCACTTTCTTTTCGCGGTTAACTCGCTCAAAATCGATTCGACTTCGAATAAATTCTTCACAGACATAGCACGTTGCGCTTGAATCATTAAATGTTCGATGTCACGTTTGACCTTGAAGGAAAATAATCGTAAAATTACTGTTTTTGAATATCAATGTCGATTTTTGTAAAATTCTCAAATTTTTGAAAATTTATATTCAAATTTTTTGTACGTGCTCTTCTCGAAAATTTTAATAAGTTATTAAGGATGAAACTTTAATGAATGAAAATTTTGTGTGTCCATTTTTTATATTCTGCCCAATACGTGATAAAGACATAATGTTAGATATATACAAAAATCATTGTAGTTTCTCCGTTAAAAATTTGCTATAACTGTTTGCCACTTTTATGACAATATTTTCTGTCGACAAAATAAAGTAAAATTACAATACCTACTTAAATACGATTTCCATTACTTTTGCATGAATCTACTAATAATAACATTAATATTAATGATAATAATAATTTAATAACTTACTTTGTCCATGTCCTGAACCACAGAAATCATCGACTCTAGAAGACTTTCGTAGTCCCTCGCTATTGTACGCAGATTCTCATGCATCTCTTGGAGATTCCTCAAGATCTTCTCAGCAAATTGACCTTCTTCTGTTTCTACATTTCCAAACATCAAAAAATCAATTCCTTATAAAATCGTTTCTTTATCTATACATTTATTAAAATACCTCTTTGACCCAAAGAAGTCATGCTTTTAATTCTGGAGTCCAATTCGCTGACTGATTTGTTCAGTTCAGGTACAGTATGAGTTTTCGAACTTTGCAGATCCTGAAGAATCGATGTCGTTTTAGAAGACTGTGTCGTTAATATCGGGTAAATCGATTCGAAACATTTAGTAACTGTCTCCAATGTCTGCAAAAATGAAGAATCATTTGTATACATCCGTAGATATTATAAAATTATCATCAAATTACAGGGAATGTTCACTCTAATTTACCTTTCTACTTTCTTCAATTTTTCGTTCATACTCGATACGTTTCTCCATCACGATCTCACTGGTGATTCTGGTCAGTTGTAATTGTTTATTAGCAAACTTATCCAAAAGTGTCTGAACACACAGACAAGCTCTGTGCACGTCAAGATAGGGATCGTTGATCTGAAAAGAATTTTATTTACAAGAATTTTATATACAAAACTCGAGTGACTTGGTACAATTTTAAAAAAATTGTTCTATTCTAAATGGTGTATGGAGACTTCTTTAACTAACTGTAGGTATAACAAGATAATAATTATAAGATGCCTTGATTCTATGCTAACAGTATTTGCTATAATAAACTTCTTCACGATCTCCTAATTCTTTAAAAACACCATTAATTATTTAAATTACTGTACTTTATTAGATGAACGTTCCAAAGTGATGAACCGACTGACCTTCACAGCGGCGTCCAAGAATGCCTTCCCATTTCCGGTGAGTTTCACGTAAAGGGGTTGAAGGTCCTTCCAGCGTCTCTCAAGCTCCTCGACTTTCGCACCGCCCAAAATGTCAGTGGGTCTCGTCAATTCGCTTTCGATCGATTCGATTTCCCTTGTCAGTTGTTCAACGTCCAAGTGAAATTGCAAGTAAATCGTTCCAACCTCGACCCTCCTTGCCACAAGATTCTTCGTCGTGGTCCAGGCGTTCTGAAGTTCTGCGGCTTTCGATTGTAATTCCAGTCTCTGTATCTCTTCCAGCCGTGCCAGGACAGGAAGTATTTCGAATTCCAGATGTTCGACCTCTTCGGTTCGCTGCTCGAGATCGTTTAACAATTGACGATGCAACCGACAGAAATCCTCCGCCATTGGGACGTCGCTGCCCATGTCCTGATGGCCCTGGAGAAACGCCTCGGGTATGCTCGTCAGCCATTTTCGTAGTTCGTCGTGTTTGTCCAGGAACGTGTTGATTATTCTCGATATTTCGAGGTTCTCTTTCTCGTGAGCCGTGCAACGCTCCGTTAACCGGATCTTCCGGTTCTCCAGTTCCTCCACCGTGCGTTTTACACCCTGAGGAACAGAGGATGTAAATGGAAGTTAAGATTGATACGAATAATTAATTATTTAATGTGCTGATGTAATCATGTAATGCTTTCAAAATAATTAACATACGTATACAGGGTGAGTCAGTAAGAACTAGGCTCTGAAATAACTCATCATCTATTGGTTATATTTAGCATTTTAAAGAACGTGTCGGATGGATACAATTTGATTTATTTGAAGAGTAAATGTTTTTATGATACTTAGCATTTATGAGAAACTACTTTTATTAGAAGAATAAAATTTTGTATAAATATTCTCTTACAATATTACTAACTACCTACAAATTGTTATTATATAAGATTTTTAAAATCGAAAAGATTAGCTCATAATCAGTCTATATGATTATTCCAGGCTCATCGTTCATGTTATTAGGAATTAAGGATCTTAACGATGTAAAGTATTTCAAGAATATTAAGAGTATTAAGGATATTTATTAGAATTAAGGAACAAATGACGAATCGAGGAGATAACGCACGAATTGTTCAAGCGATATTTTTAATCGAACGACGCAATTAACTGTCAGGATTTATTTTTCAAACTGACCTCGGCTCCAGGCGCTCCTCTTCCTGTGATATCGAGGAGGGCGTATCCTTCCTCCAAAGGCTTCGACGTGACGTCTTCTATGGTGGCGACCGTCTGAGCATGGAAACGAGCTAATCGTGCCGAATATGGGGGATGCTCCGTTGTCACCAGCTGGATCTCGAGCTGATCCAGTTTCGTAATAGCCTGTGCGATCAAGGTCACTCTAAATCGACATTCTATTATGTGAAATATTTGTTCCCGTTTGCATTGATGATATTCAACCGAGGTAATGAAATTACAAATGTTAGTTACTTCTACTTTGAATTATCTTTTACATAACATGTATCTTCTAAAACGAATGTTTAGTATATCAAGCTATAATTTAGGCAAAATGTTCTAGAACATTTTTCTTTAATATTCTTAATATAAGAATGAGAATATTCTCGTTCAGTCAGAATTTTAATTATTAAATATTAGGTGTACCAGTAGTCCACTATTTTTCGTGTAATTTTGTATTCGTTTTTGAAACAATTAAAAAACCCTGTATTGAACTCAATACATCAGTCCGTACAGGGTTAAATGCGTAAAATTGCTTTAGATGTATAAAATAAATGTGTTTATGAAATATAGTTTCCGGAAAAATTAATTTTACCAAATACTTCCTATTTCTACACATATAAAATCATATTACTAATTAATCAAAATTAGCTTTCATTTTCTTATCGTGGAATTCAATAAAACCAAGTATAGAGGTTCAATGCTCACCGATCGCGCCAATTCGAAGAAGGCCACGGCTCTATTCAGCAGAGATTCATACTGATCCAAATCGTTGACATAATCAGCCGCGGCTCCGAGGATGGCATAAGCCTGTTCTGTCGCTTGTTCACCGGCAAAGTGTCCCGATGACACTAATCGTTCGGTCGACTTCGTAATCTTGATCGATCTATCTTGAAATTCCTACAAAATTAATATCGATCCGTTATATTACACACTTCTTGTCGAGAAATTAACGTTTGCAGGATAAACTTCTTAATGTTGTAAATGTCTTAATATTTATGTTATTATGTTGTAATATTTTATGTTATTTTCATCTGACGTAGGACTAGGGTTGGACGTAGGGTTAGATGTTGATGAAATAAATGTTTATGAAATTAGAATTACATGTTTCCCTTCACTTATAACTTAATTTTCCTTTCTTTGTTCAAGAAACACCATAATAAATCGACTTTCTGAATTAATTCACACCGAAGTACTTAATCCTGTACAATACATTTTTTCTATTGTTGAAATACTTCATTCTTCATTTATCTAATTTTAATTAAATTGAAAGGATTTTTATATGAATAATTTAAAATACTATATAAATACCTTCGCTTCAGCCTGTAACTTTTTCAATTCAAACAGAAGTAAGTCCGCGCTCGATGCGGAATCACCGAGTTGATCGCAACTGCTCGAAAGGGCAGCGATTCGATCGTTCAGGATCTCTTCGAGATCGCGTAAATCGGTTGCCAGCAGGGCTAGAGCCAAGCATTGTTCCAATTGTGTTTTTCTACTACGAAACGACGTTTCGATCAGTTGCCTTCGGTCGTGAAGCTCCTCCAACCACCTTTCGACTTGTAATACAGCTACAAATAATAGTAAATATTTCACATATTCATATTATAGATGTTACGTGGTCTTTGTTAATTCTCGATACCTTAATATTCCAGAGGAATTAAAATATTAACTGACCATTTCGAAACTTTCCAAAAATTATTCCACTAATCTTTTTTCGTTGCACAAACTTCATCAACAATTTATTATAATTTCTTAGTATCCCTCCGAAGACTACGTTTCCAAGGATAAAACAATCTATCTCTATCGAAGCATTTCATAGTAATTATAGTGACTCGTTGTTTATTTCCACCAGAGTTTCACGTATCACCGTGAAACGTGTCGGCAACGCGAAACGCACACATCAGTTATGTCATCGATTAAATAAAAGCGAAAGGGAACGTTCGCAAAGAGAACAGCCGACACCGGTCATAATTAACCGTTTTTTCCAGCCGGGAAACATTAATTACGGCCGCTCACCGTGATCAGCTTCCAATTTAATTCTGTCCGGCCTGGAGTCCAAGGTGCCTTCGTTTGCGATCTCCTTCAGCCTGTCCAACAAACTCTTTCACAACATGTTCTTTCGTAGATCGTGGATCTTCGACAGGAAATTCTTCACCGCCTCGATCTCGATCGGCAGCAGTGTGTCGTTGCACGCCATTTCCAAGGCCCTCATGCTTTCCCGACACTCCTCTGCTCGGCTGAAAAATTAGTTTTAATTCATGAACACATCAAATAATTTGATATTTGACTATAGATTTTGTGTATATGATTGTTTATCCAAATCTTGACTTTTCTGGATCAGTTTACAGAGACTGGCATCATTGTTCTATATTTGGAGAATAAACAAGAGAACATTTTTTTTAATCGTGTTAACTCTTCTGTTCTATTTCTCTAATGTATTAGCTCACTGTATGATAAATATAATCTTTCAGAGCGCTTCACTTCAGTCATATAAATTTGTACGAAATTTCCATCGAGAAGTCAATAACTCACTGGGACAAATGAACTAATTCAGATGGATTTTACTTTCCGTTGAAAATCTTAATAACATTGGAATTCAAGAACGACATGTATTGACCAATAACCTGATGCATATAAACATATTTGCCATTTTCAATAGCAACACATTTCATGGTATAGATTCTGTTAAGGGTAGTATCCATACCATTGAAACAATACGTTGCTGTCGAGGATCTGTTTCCGGCGCTCCAAAAGCTCGTTCACGTCGCGCCACGCTTGGCCCAGCGTTTCCGCCATCGCGGCGTACACTTCCGCCCTTGGCCTTTGGTTCGAAATCAATTGATCAGCCTGTCGGAGCAGTTCCTCAACCGGGCTTTGTTTGCTCTTATTTAAAGAAAATTTTTCGAATCGGTCAGTCACATTCCTAATTACTTTATTATATTAACTAGATCGATTTGCAACAAATAAATGCTATAGTAAGAAATATTGTGGTTTTATTTTATAGAAAGAGAATTTTGGAAATTTATACTATATACACATTAATGGATTATATTAAACTATGTATAGTATAACACTATGCCAAATATATTACAGTTCGAACTCGAAAGCATAAAATGTCAAGAAAATTTACCTGCAATCGAAGCAGGACTTCGTCGTGTGCGCTGGATAGCTCGGTTGCTTCCTCGACGGAGGCGCCGAGCTTCGTTAATTCCGGCTGGACCTCCAGTACCTTCAACCTGAGCCATTCCCCGTTCTAAACGATGGACAAACGAAAGGACAGAGAAGTTCGTTAGCGAGGTTTAATAATAAAGACCGCTAACAGCTCGACAAGTCTAATAATAATTTAACGGCGATTCACCGCCTGGAGCCGAAATCGTAAAAGGCAATGATCATAGTAAACGACGGGTTGGCGCCTTTTATGGGGTCATACGCGATGGTCTAAAAACGGGGTGATCGTCGAATCGAGTCGGGAAATGGGAACGAGAATTTTATTCAGATCTAAAATGACATCACCCAAACATGACGACGGAATGTGTAAACCACCGTCTGCAATCTATTTAGGGCATGTTGCAGCAACTCCGTACTGACAGACTTTTGTATCCTTAGCTACCTTTGAGATGTCTCTATCAATTGGTCTTTCAAGACCGAACGATGGAAACGAAACCGGCAGGATCTAATTGAAATTAAACGGATTGTATGGATTTGGTTTTATGTAGTATAAATTATTCTTGGTAATAATTGGTCTTATGTAGTATAATGTATGTAGTATGCCTTGAATGACAGGAATTATGTAAAATAGTAAGGACATGGAAGGGAATGTGTATTGGAAGAATTAAAATGTTAAGTAATTCGTTATTTCATATTTGAAAATATTCTTATAAGGCTGTAGAAATGAATTGGTGACTACAAATAAATGATTACATATAAATATTTATTCGAACAGTGGGCATTATGGAAAATTCTTTTGATTGGCAATATACAACTCCAGTTTCACTTTTCAGAGTATTAATCTTGTTAAAAACCCGACGAACAAATAAATGAATAATAACAGTAACACTCAATATGTAACATAAAATGTAACAGTAAAATAAAAACCTCAGGAACATCTGGTGAAATTTATTCCCATTTATAAATTATTCTAATGAAATCCTTAATAAATGAATTAATTCTCATTTCTTGAAAATACCAACTAATAACTTTTTACTAGAATTTTTTACAAAATCGAAGTATTCGGAAAATCTTACTAAAAATACAATGACGTAGTAAGGAAACGAAAGGAATGTTTCGAACAAACATCGGATAATCTTCCTTCTTGTTCCCTGGATCTATTTCAAATCGTTCAAACGCGGGCGAACATTAAGAAACCCTCGCTGTCGACGTTTGTTTATCGAACGGCGTCGAAATTCCGCGCACAGAAGGATCGATTCTGTCTGTGAAACCTCGGGCGATCGTTAATTTCCGCGTTTCTGATCGTGAAAATAGCCACCGACGTTCGCGGCCGTGTAAACACGTCGACGGGTTAACGAACGAGTGGCTCGACGAGGAAATGATCGATGAACAGTAGCCATGAGTTGCATGAAAACCGGTATGAAGCTTTATTATCGACGGCTACTGGATAATTACAATGTACGTAATGAGCTGCGAGTATCCTTGTAGATGAGAAAACGATTATTCCTCTCTGAACGTTTAGAGACCAATATTTTGCAGGTAAAGAAGATCGATATTTTTAGCTAGAAAAACGATTATTCTTCTCGAAGCATTCAGACACCAATATTTTCCAAGGTAAAGAAGATAGATATTTGAAGATTATTCGTGTCACAGAATCTCTAAGCCACTATATTTTATATATCGAGGCTATTTTGCACCTATTATTCGTTTGCGTCAGGTAGAAGGAAAAGTTGAAGTTATTCGAAAGACTATATCAATGTAAAGGGTTATCCAATAGTAGGTACCTAAACATATCGGTGAGATTCTTCTGATTAAAATGATACCAAATACAACATTATTTGGATCATATTACTTTATTAATATTAATGGGTCACCCTGTATATTCAGAAAATTTGATGTATTTTCCTGATAAAATAAATTCGGTATAGGTGGACAAGTACGTACAATCAGCAATGCCTATAAAAAGTGATTTATAACGCAAATAAATATATTTTTACTTCAATAGTATTTCTTGTATCGTAAAACCATAATCGTCCAATCGGTGAAATGTCATAAGAACTGAAGTTATGACACGCTTGAACACCCTAAACGACGCGTACCACTTTAATCGGAGAGGTTTGTGTAAACACGCTGCCTCTGGCAAGTAAAACGCGAATGATTTCTAATTAAACGCGTCGCTTAATTCGACAAACGAGCAGTAATTGTGACACTTTCGCGGCTTGTCGAGCGTGATTCGATGCGATTGGGGACAGTTCCAATCAAACGACAGATCGTATTGACAACCGGTTCGAATCCCGGCGAGCATTTATTGGCAGCCGAGTGAACATAATACAACCGTTAAAAAAAGATGCTCGCGATAGTGTCCAAGTGTCCCGATATCGTGACGGATGATGCCTCCATCAGAAATAGACGTCGAAAAATGAACCGGTGTATACGACAGGCCTCGATGAAAATATATCGCTGCTGTTGGCGCCGTGATTTGCCAGATAGAGTTAGAGTCGAAATTAAGGTTAGGTAAATTAAAGCAAAGGTATACACTTTGAAGCTATGGGATTCATATTTATTTCTCTCAATTTAGAATCTGATATTTCGTATAGATGCTCTATTAAATTCAGATCTGGTGACTAGGGAGAAGGAGTTAATTTTTTTTTAACCACCGAATTCAAGTAATACAAAATTTATTATAATTCAGAAAAAATATCTAATTGAACATAGGATTATATTTACTCTTTTATATACACCCTTGAAATTCGAAGGCCTTGTTATGTTATACCCTTCATCGTCAGATAAATATTTATTGTCCTCTCTCGTTATTCTGAATTTTTTTTGGACTGCAACCAAAAGTATCATCCTTCACTTACAAATAGCTTGCTCTTCTTAAAACATTTTTTTGTACCTGTTACCATTCGACCAGGTCGTTGGAAAATAAAACCGGCGCGTCACTGTTTACACCTGCAGTGTTCTAATTTTGTACGTATATCTAGATCACACATGTAAATGCACACAAATTTTTTATCTCTTTTTGTTCTTTATTTTATTTCTTTAGTATTTTATTTTAGTTCTTGACAATCTAATCCTTGACATTTAATAGAAAAGAGTTTAGGGAATACTTTTTATTTCACAATTATATCGATGGCAACAGTAACCTTAACATTAATAGTGCAATTCAATATTTAGAAAAAACTAGGAAGTACCGATGTCAAAGGCGTCACCTTGAGCCTGTCAACGTAATGCGATCTCTCACTCAATAAAATGATCCCCTGCTCACAAAAACTTGTCCGACCACCACACGCACATTCTACTTAAATCGATAAAAAGTGAAATAGTAACCGTGGATCTTGAGCTAACCCATTTGCATTGCCTTCCCTGTATTATTTACAATGATGTCTACTTTGTAATAGAATAAAATTATCCTGATATAGGTAATTACAGTGTTAGCAAATTATTCTTAACCATTTAACGTAAAATCCATTATAATACACAAAATACACTGTCTGTTAAAAATTGAAAGCATACTATTAGATTTATCTTCCGTTCGAAAATTCAAATAATTTCAAAATATTCAAACCTAATTCGGTAAAAAATGAAGCTTTTTAATGTCTTCTATTTCGTTTCTTTTGGAAACTGAAATATCGAAAGGGGCAAATGATATTTAAATGGCCAAAAGAGGATTTCGATGTTAAAGGAAATCATTTTTTTCATAATTAAGTAAAATCTCGAGTAGTGAAATTGCTTAGGAACGCCCACACCTATGGGTATCGCGACTAGACGCGAAATTTTATTACGCGCAAACGACATTGGTACTCCTTCGGTGGTGACATCACATCCCTTCTTGTACTCGCGAGTTTATTTGTAGCGAATCGTCGCCGCGTCATTCTAAATCCTTCGTTTACGCGCGATCGCCGCTCTCCACGGACAGAATTCTATCCATGCCGCCCACACCGTTAGCCTTTTGATCATTCGAATTCAAACGCCGCCTCGCCTTGATCTTAGGGATCGAATTTCACAGTGAAAAGTCGCACGCTTTCGTGGCAATAACGACAATCAGTTGGCGAATTAATTAACTGTCCTGTACCATATTTAATGATTCACAATAATTCCTTATCTTATTGAGAGGGACCTTCCATGACAAGAAAAGTTCTACGTTTTCTGACATTTTGAAGTATCAGGCAACTCTTTTATGTTACTTTTTGGTACTCTTCTGGAAAGTTGAAAAATTTTAATAACTACAGAGAGCAAAACAGATTTTTTGTTCGATTTAATTCCAAACTAACGTCACGCTCAAAGAATCGAACGAAATTTCATGAGCTTACAATTAGACGATCCCAGTGAAAGTCATCTTCATAAATGCTATCGAGCGGTGTCGTCGATTGGATGTAACGCGAGTATCGAGGTAATTAATACTGGACGCGATAACGAACACAGGCAGAGAATAAATTCCGTTAAATTAAATGCTTCGAAATCCGAGGGAGCAATGGAGGGCGTGTCTCGGTCGTGGACAACGATACATACAAAGGATTTACGATGGTGGATTCCCTTGCTTATTAACCGGCTCCGGTAGAGAACCATAATTACGTTTACGGTGCACGTGCGTAATTGCACTTTATCTTTCTCGCCTTGAAATCAGATACACCAGTTCCGGAAAAACTGCGTGTAGAAGCAAAACTTAATGCAGCGCGTACGATTATTATCCCGTTCTTTCCCCTTTCTTCGGGGGAACAAAAATAGCCCTCGAATTAACATATTTGCGCGTTGAAAAAATGTTTTACGGTAGGCTCGTCATTTTTTTTCCAATCCATGTTTTAACAGCAGAGCATTTTTAGGTCAATGACAATGATAAAATATCAGAAAGTGGATTATTGTCATATAACGCAATAGACAAATTTAAAAATCATTCGATAGGAATTATTTAACTTCTGAAATATTTTATATCGTCGAATGTAATGTATGGTACTATACGTTGTGTATATTTAATGTATTTATATTAAACATAACTAATATGTAAATGCATTTGACCTACACTAATACACAATAAGCCTAAAACATATTCATACAACAAGTAATTACAATAAAATATTTACTAAC